AATGAGGATCCCGCGACCTGGGTCGTCTCCCTCACTCGCCGGGCCTGCGCTCTGGGTCTATTCAGGATCCCACAGCCGGGGTTGTCTCATTCACTGGGCAGGCCTGCGCTCTGGGTCTGTTCAGGATCCCGTGGCCTGGGTCGTCTCACTCACCGCTGGGCCTGCGCTCTGGGTCTGTTCAGGACCCCGCGGCCTGGTCCTCTCCCTCACTCGCGGGGCCTGCGCTCTGTGTCTGTTCAGGATCCCGCGGCCTGGGTCGTCTCACTCACTCGCCGGTCCTGCGCTCTTATAGATCTCTTTGATGTGTGGCATGAAACTAATTTTCTAAATGTCCACCTATTTCAGGGTTTAGGAGATAAAGGTACTTGTTGGTATCCAAGTAAGAGTTTCAGACTTTTTTTAGTGCTCTGCTTTTAACATGACTTAGTTGATTTCTTAGCTCCAGTTTCTCTAAGTGTCTTTTGAGTTTTTGCTACTTCTGGCTTACGCTGAACTTTGGTGTTTTGTTTTTTTTGTTTTTTGTTTTTTGTTTTTTGTTTTTGTTTTTTTTTTTTTTTGGCAGAACCAGGGATTGAACACAGGGCTTTGCACTTGCTAGGCAAGTGCTTATTCTACTGAGCCATCTCCCCAGGCCCCTTAACTTTGAGACAGGAATTTGCAAACTTTTTCTGTATATGGCCAGATAGTAAATAGTTTTCACTTTGGGGACCATATGAATTATCCCAGCATAGCATGAAAGTAGTTACAGATGTTGCATAAATAAATGCATATGGGTGGAACTGTGTTCCAAGAAAACTGTTTAGGAAATAAGCCACTTGCTGTAGTTTGCCAACACCTGTCTTAGGACATTTGAACTCAGGCCTTTGCACTTTCCCGGCAAGTGCTTATTCCACTGAGCCATCTCCCTGACCCTTAAAACTTCTGTTCTTTCTGGGCATGGTCCCTGCCTGTAATTGCAGCACTCAGTAGGGGCAGGAGGATTAAAAATTCAAGGTCAGCCTGAAGTACATAGGAAGACCCTGTCTCAGAAAAAACAACAGAAAAGAAAAAAAAATCATAAAAAAAGAAAAAACCTTTTCTACTTTCTGCATAGTCATGGTGAAGTGTGCTTTTCTTTGCACCTTTCCTATAACCTTCAGCAGTGTTTGCACTTCTAGTCTTCCCTGTTTCTCTGTTTTACAATTTTAATGCTTCAGAGAACATAGGTGGGAGACTAAAGTGGATGCTTCACATTTCATTAGTATAGAGTGTTAGAATGTAAAAGGGCTTTGTGTCAGCTTCATGTTACTGTATAACTAATTCCAAATAACCTCATTCCTTTTATTTTGTTTTAGTACTGGGGATCGAATTCAGGACCTTGCCCTTGCTAGGCAGGCACTTATGCCTGCTCAGCTAAATCTGCGACCCTCATTGTAGATAGCTCAATTAGAAATTAAGAGAGATTGGGCCCTCGAGGGAGTGCAGTGCAAAAGAAAAAACACATCAAAATTGTGGCTAGAAGGGCCGAGGAGATGGCTCAGTGAAATAAGAGCTTCCCTGGCAAGTGCAGGAGCCTGAGTTCAATCCCTGGTTCCACAGGGGGGAAAAAAAATTGTGGCTAGAGTCAAATCTCAATGGAGCCAGGCTTCTCCTAGGTGGAAACTGATTATAGCCAGGTCTGCAATCCTACATGGAAATAACAATTGAGATTATGCTGTAATTAACACCAACTGACCCGGTGAACCCAGTGAGTCATCAGACACAGCAGTAAGCGGCCAGGATGTGGAGAACCACAGTCCCATCCCTCTTTAGGAAGGCCTTTGTTCTAGGACTAGAACGTACAGATAACAGGTGCTCATCACATGCAGACCTTTGTTTCTCTGTTGGAACAATGTTAGCTATGTGACTATACTTGCCGTCTTATGAGTTGGTTATAGTTTGCCCTATGTTGTGCTCATGTTGGGATATTGTTGTATAAAATACCCCTGACAAGGGGCCTCAACGGCCACCCACTCAGGAGACCCTCCAGAGGGCCAGCAGCTATTCTTCATCTTATTGCCCATAAAACTAGCCTAACTTGCTTTGCTTCCACTTCTTTCCTCAGTTGTGACACCATGAACTCAGCACATTTGGTTTTTTCTCATAATTTTATTGAGAAACAAATAGCAATGAGACGGTTTCAAACCAAATTGGTAAGACAGTTTCAATAATCAACACATTGCATACTCTCTTCCTAGTGGTTATTTGCTGTACAAGATGCGGACATTATATCCTATTTACATACGCTATTAGAACAAATCCCTCTATTCATTAAGAGAATGTAACTATATATCCTAATAATTTTGAATACACAGATACAAGATGGACATTCATCTTTATACCCTTTTTTGTTTACTTCCGTTACTTGAATATTATGGGTGTGTTAACTCAGCAAAATATTCTAAAAGAGTCCAGTAGTCCACAATAGTATTGGGTCTTCCTCTTCACTGACAATGTCAGAAATTGTTGACCTGAGTCCCCTACAGCTCAACATAACAGCATAGCTTTACTTCTTTTTTTTTCGGAACCAGGGATTGAACTCAGATCCTTGCGTTTGCTGGTCAAGCGCTTATCCTACTGAGCCATCTCCCCAGCCAGCTTTACTTCTTATACTTTATTTTTATACTTTTCTGCTGGATAGTTAAGACCAAGACAAAGCAGGACCTATGCAACAAGAGTTGTAGCTTTTGGATCTGATAAGGTCAGTGAAATCCCCTCAGGATCCTGAGATCCTGTACCTCAGATTGTAGAATCTTTGTCAGTGTCAACCATGTGGATGAGTCACTGCCATTGCTTGGCCAATGTGCTCTCTGTGAAAGCCTGAGAGAATGTTTTCTCTCCATGGGACTCTCCTTAGGCACACTCTACATCATCGATCACTTTCCTTTTTGACCCCATAATCTCCTTGATCAGAAAATTTGGTACACTACCGAGTTACATGACATTACAGTACAAGTTCTCATATGTCCTGAGTCTTAATTGACCTTGGAAGGTAGGGCCAAAATGTTGGCTTTCCTTGTGTCCCTCCTTTTTCTCTAATTTTGGTCTGTAAACTTAGCTTGTTAACCCTCCCGAAGAGAAGTTTATTGTTATTACCATACAACCTAGGCTGTTAAGCTTAACCTTACTATCTGTCTGCATATCAAACATCTTAGGCATAACATGGAACAGGTATTTTTCATCAAGTATTGATCTGTTCATACCTAACAGGTTGAGTGTTGTTTTCCCCATAACACTATTTTTTTTTAAGGGAAGCGTCTACAGGGTGTTCAAGGTCTCATTGGTAGATGAGATTCGTAGTGATCTGCCTGTTTACAGCTTCCCAAAAGCTGGGATTACAGGGGCTCACCAACGCACCCAGTCTCAATTGCCATTTCAGTGCCCCCCCACTGGCAGGGCAGGACCAGGGATCAAACCCCAACCCCTGCACCTGCAGGTGCTTTAATCACTGAGCTATTTGGCTGGCCCTCCCATAACACTTCCAAGTGGTTTGTTCCTTACAATATAGATTTCATAGGACTGGAGAGATAGTCACAGTCATAAGCACCTACCTGGCATGCGTAAGGTCCAGAGTTGGACCCGGCACCCCATGGCACACTGTCCCAGAACCAGGCATGATAGCACACACCTGGAATCATAGCACTGGAGAGGCTAAGAGAGGAAGATCACTAGAAGTTTGAGGCCAGCCTGGTAGTCATAGAAGCACAAGGCCGACCAGAACTGCACAATGAGACCCTGTCTCAAAAAAAAAAAAAAAAAAAAAAAAAAAAAAATCTAGATTTCATGATAAGAAATGGGCTTATTTGGATGAATTTTAGCTGTTCTTTGTCATGGAAGTATTTCACTTCTCCATCAAACGTGAAAGAGAGTTTTGTAGGGTATAGTAGTCTGGGCTGGAATTTGTTTTCATAGAGAACCTGAAGTACTCTGCTCCATGCTCTTCTTGCCTGCATGGTTTGTGAAGAGAAGTC